GCGCGCCGGGATCCTGGAATCCAAGCCAGCGTGGGCAGCGCACCTCCTGTTCAGTCAAATCGCCTCAGGATTGTAGACAGAGGCTCGGCTATGATATTCTTGCGCGTGGACGTTTTGAAGATACAGCGCCCCGCGTTCCTCCTCCTCCTCCTCCTCCTCCTCCTCCTCCTCCTCCTCCTCCTCCCCTCTCCTCTCCTCTCCTCCTCTCCTCTCCTCTCCTCTCCTCTCCCTCTCCTCCCTCTCCTCTCCTCTCCTCTCCTCCTCCTCCCCCCTCCTCCTCCTCCTCTTCCTCCTCCTCCTCCTCTCCTCCTCCTCCTCTCCTCTCTCCTCTCCTCTCTCTCCTCTCCTCTCCTCTCCTCTCCTCTCCTCTCTCTCCTCCCTCTCCTCTCCTCCTCCTCCCCTTCCCCTCCTCTCCTCCCCCTCCTCCTCCTCCTCCTCCTCCTCCTCTTCCTCCTCATCCTCCTCTTCCTCCTCCTCCTCCCTCCTCCCCTCCTTGCCTCTGCCCTCCGCATGTCTCTGTTTCGGCACACCCAGTACAGCGTTTCGTGGCCCTATAGGGAGCTCAACCGAAGGCCCCAGTGCCAGGGCCCGCATGCCGCCACCTCGCCATGGCGGCACATCCCTCACACGCTTCGTAGCACCGAAGGGAGCTCCACCGAAGGCCCCAGTGCCAGGGCCCCCATGCCGCCACCTCGCCAATTTCGGCACACCCCTCACACGCTTCGTGGCCCCATAGGGAGCTCCACCGAAGGCCCCAGTGCCAGGGCCCGCATGCCGCCACCTCGCCATGGCGGCACACCCCTCACATGCTTCGTAGCCCCGTAGGGAGCTCCACAGAAGGCCCCAGGGCCGGGGCCCACATGCCGCCACCGCGTCAATTTCGGCACACCCCTCACACGCTTCGTAGCCCCATAGGGAGCTCCACCGAAGGCCCCAGTGCCACGGGGCCAGCATGCCGCCACCTCGCCATGGCGGCACACCCCTCACACGTTTCGTAGCCCCGTAGGGAGCTCCACCGAAGGCCCCAGTGGCAGGGCCCGCATGCCGCCACCTCGCCATGGCGGCACACACCTCACACGTTTCGTAGCCCCGTAGGGAGCTCCACTGAAGGCCCCAGTTAAGAGCCCGCACGCGGTTCAATCCCACATGTTGGCGAACCCCTAGCACGTTTCGTGTCCTGAGCGAGCACCACCAAAGTCCGCAGCGACAGGGTCCGCATGTCGGTGCCGCCCCATTTCTGTACACCCCTAATACGTTGCGTGGCCCCATAGGGAGCTACACCGAAAACCCGAGTGGAAACGGTAGCCTGCCGCCGACGGGCCACTTAGGCACACCCCTCAAACGTTTCGTGGCCGCATCGGAGGATCCACCGAAGATGGTACTCACAATTGCGGTACGTATCATTGCTTATGGTTGGGTCCTTCGCCAGGCTAATTTAAGCGGGCCGTCCGTGCTGGCTCGAAGCTCGAAGACGAAGATGTTTCACATGTTATGCAAGCCGCACGTGCGTGCCCAATGTCATTCAAATCGCAAAATGATTGTTAACACATTGTTTGTGAAGGCGTTGCGCAACTGTGCTGGACACGCATACCTATGTAAGCGCTTAAATCTGATTAGATAGCTGAAATAAGTGCGTTAAACACACTTGCCTAGTCTAACTGACAGCCGCATTAATCTTACATGTTGAGATGGGAAGTCGTTGACGAAATTCTTTGAACTATCTTAAAGAAAGGTTGAAAGCAGCATTTGAAATCGTCAACCACTGGTTCCTACGACTTCTGCGTACCTGCGATGAGGCAGGTATGTGTTTGACCACCTCGGACACACGACGTAGAGCAGTCACTCGTTGGGGACCGTGACGTCGCGATCTGCATGAGGGGTGCGTCCGACTCTCCACGATGTCCAGGACCGCTCGCGGAGAAGGGCCGTTCAAATTTTGATGTTGTGGCAATTCATTGTCTTTGAGTTTTACTCCCGCTGAGAGGTGCGTATGTGAATACACACACATATATATATAGTTACACTCATAGTTTTCACCCGCTGCAGACTATCGGGACCCTCCCCTTTGGAATGGCTTCCCTGGGGGTTAATTACTATACTTTTCCGCTCTTAGAAGCCACAAGCAGCTCCCAAGAAAGGCCCCAGCTGGCTTTCAGAAGCGGTCCACATGGGTCCAGAAGGGCCCCAAGGCGGTCGAACAACCCCCCAGCCGGCTGACGACGCGCAAGGCGGTCCAGTATTGCTTCAAGGCGCATCAAGAGGCCTTTGATACGCTCCAAGTTGCTCCAAGAAGACTTGCAGGAGGCCTTCAGCATGCCAACAATCATTGCTTATCCTATGTGTTTAACGGATATTAGAGTAATCGTTCCTTCGGGCTTCCGACTGCCAAAGACGGCCTTAGAGGCCTCCAAGATAGTGCCAAGACGGCCCAATAAAGCCCCAGGAGGCCCCGAAGATGGCCCAAGAGGCCCCCAAGACGGCCCCAGATATCCCCAAGATTGTTAAAAACCCTTCAGAGAAGGCCCTAAGACGGCCCAGCGAGGCCCCCCAAGACTGCCTCCGAAGACCAACCTCCCAGAGGCCCAGGCCCCAGGAGAGGCTCTCAGGAAGCCCTTGCACGGTCCCAAAACGCTCTCAAGAGGGCTTCTCGTCATCCCTCCTCCTCCTCCTCCTCCTCCTCCTCCGCGTCCTCCTCCGCGTCCTCCTCCTTCTCCGCGTCCTCTTCCTCGTTCTCCTCCTCCTCCTCCTCCTCCTCCTTCTCCTCCTCCTCCTCCTCCTCCTCCTCATCTTCCTCTCTTCCCTCTTCTCTTTCTCTCTACCACAGGGTTTCCCCCAAGGGTTTCCACAATGGCTCGGGGACCACATTGTCCAATAGCTTGGCAAGTTTTCGGCCCACTTGTTTGGCCGAAGAGGCACCTGCAAAGGGCAGGTGTCGGCTGCGGTTCGCCGTAGGCGTCTTCGGAATGTCATACTCCTTATCGTGTTAACTTGCGTTCGGTCCGATATCCAAGGGCGCCCTCGAGGGCCCGAATTTTTTCGCGCTTCGCGGCTCGGCTCCGACTCCTCCTCGTCCTCCTCTTCTCTCCTCGGGCGCGGCGCCAGAGCGCGAAGTTATTCGCGCTCTCGCGCTTCACGCGAAGTTGGGCGCCCTTGGCTATCACCACCGACGAAAAACACAACAGCATCTGATGGAGACACACACACAAACGCACGCACGCACCCACGCACACGCACGCACGCACGCACACACATACACACACAGACATACATACATACATACATACATACATACATACATACATACAGACAGACAGACAGACAGACAGACAGACAGACAGACAGACAGACAGACAGACAGACAGACAGACAGACAGACAGACAGACAGACAGACAGACATACACGCACACACACACACACACACACACACGCACGCACACACACACACACACACACACGCAACGGCGCCCGGCGTGCCCCAGCCAGCCCCGAGGAAGGCCCCGGATGGCTCCCAAACGCGACCCGACAAAAAGGGATTCCGAAGCAAGCAGAAAACGTTAACGGATGACTTCCAAGCGCGCCGATGCGGCCCCGGATGGTACCAAGACGACCCCTCAGCGTCCAGGAGGCCCCCAAAGAGCTGTCAGGAAAGGATACCACGAGAACGGGCCTTATATGCAAACATCAATGATGTTCGTTTGGTTGTCGCGCGGGCTGAGATGGTTCCAGAGGGGCCCAGAATCGCCAACGATCCCCAGAAACTTCCGAGCAAGGCCCAGATGGCTCCCGCGAGCGACCCGGATCGCTTCAAAAGGGTTCTAAAGTAGTTGGAAACGCCAGCAGACGACATACAAGCGCCAAGCGCGCCAAGATGACCCCAGACGGTACCAAGACAGCCCCATAAGCATTCAAGATGCGCAAACATGGTTTCCAGAAGATTCCGGCAATGGCCCCGTGGCAGAATTGCCGTCAAATGGCTTTCTGGAGAAATTGACAACGGCCCCAAGAGGCACAATTCGCAGTGCTCCGTAATTTCTTCATCTCGGGTCCCCACGTATGTTTTGGTATGTAGCTATTTGGGCTCAAGCGTGGCGCCAGGCGGCGGCGGCTGCGCCAGCGCCGCCGCAGGCGTGCACGCGTCGGGGCTCAAGGGACGGTGGTCAATGCAAACGGGGGTCAGTCAGAGCGCCAGATCTTGCAGGATCCTGCAGGGCCGGGGGTGCACCGACCCAGGCTTGGGCGCAGGATCTTGCAGGGTGCTGCAGGATATTGCCGGACCTAGCTTGCCCCGGCTTTGGGCAGGGTGGGGCTGGGCATGCTTGGCTGACGGGGCGGGGGAGGGAAGGACCGCGCGCGCACTCGCAGCGCAGCAGGGCGGCGCACCGTCTTCTGCTCCATCCTCGTCGGTCCTGCAAAGCCTGACTGGCCCTGGGGCTGGAGTGGAACCCCGAGCGCACGGAGGCGGTCTCGCGATCCCTTATGCCTAGAGGCCGCCCGCCGCGTCGCGCTCGAGGGTGGTGGCCTGAGCGGCTTCGCCAACGTGAGGCTCAAGCCCCCTTCCCGTGAGAGGGGGGGCGGCGCGGCGCGAAGACGAGATGTCCAGGCGGAGGGCATGCCGGTCAAGATGCTGGAGATATCCCCGGCATCTGAGCAGGGCTTCGAGGAGAACATTGGCCTGCGCTCGCACTCCGCAGTTCCGATGCACATCTGTATCCTCTCGGCGTCACCCCAACATACTGATACTATGTCTGCGTCGCCTCCCCAGGGGCGACGCGGGCACCGAGAAACCTTACAACAGTACATGCGTCGTGGCGGGCGCTTTTTGGCCACGCCGCTCGGCAAACGATATACTACAATATGGGTGTACTATATGCTCGCTCGAAAGCGACACTTAGCACTGGTATGCTTTTGTCCGTCCCGTCCTTTGCCTGTGCTGAGCCAGGCCTCTGGCCTCTGGCACAGGCTCTCTGCGCCGTGCTGCGCCTGCGACAGCCGCCGCGAC